CCCCAAAACCCCAAAACCCCAAAACCCCAAAACCCCAAAACCCCAACTAGAGACCCTAATAATGAAGCAAAAAAAAATATATTAAAAAATTTAGATCTTAGAATAATAATATTAAAAATGCCAGCTACTAGAGGACCAAAGAAATTTATGTGTACTGCTCAAGGATGCAACAAAGAGTATAGTACAAAGTTTGCCCTGCAACGTCATCTCTACACACACTCAGGCATCAAAGCCTTTAAGTGTAACTACTGCCCGAAGAGCTTCTCTCTTCAGCAGTATCTTCAAGAGCATGAGTTCACCCATACAAAGGCCAAACCTTTCGTATGAGGAATCGACGGTTGCACTGAATCTTTCAGACAAAGAGGCAAGCTTTGACTACACCGAAGGACACATCCAAGCTACAAGAAGAAGGAGTACAAGGTCTACGCTAGAAAGAACAAAGCTGGGAAATGTCAACCTCAACCAAAAGACATGTAAGTTCAATAATCCCTAATAATATCTAGTTTGCCAGAATATCTGAAGCAAGTTGAAGAAGTGAAGGAGCATCAGCATCTACTGAAGGATCTAAAAAATTCCCGTACATTACCGATCCTATCAACAGACAGCTTGAACTCCATCGACCTGAGCAACTATTGACTTTGTAACTTGTCAATGCTTACCATGCAAGTTCCAAAGATTATATTACCTTCCCCATCTCCACTGCTGAAAGAGTCAGAAGTTTTCATGAAGCCAGAAAGGATTAATGAAAGAACTTCAGAGAGCACTCTTATTGAAGTAGTTGGGGTGAGCCCCCTGGGCACTGGATCTCATGCAGCCTATTCATTTACGGCCATGGGCATCTAAATCCATACATTAGGAATTCGTTCCATTGGCGATAGCCTACATTACCACAGTACATTATTGATAAGAAAAGAAATTTTCTTCAAAGCTTTCGGGACTGGGATTTTATGTGGGTCTTTTTGACTGGGAGACTGCACACTAACCTTCACATTTCACTTTTTACCATGGGGCTTCTTCTACATTGGTGACTTCCTCGATTTTCAGTTCATGAATTTCTGTTCGCAATAGAGGGGTGGAATCTTTGGGTATAGTACTCTGAGATGAGACTGAGAGAACATTAGTCTATACTTCTTCTGGTCTAAGTCGTTTTGTACATTTTTGGCTGGTACTAAAATATCAGACTAGGACATAGTGCTAGATGAAGAGCCAAAATAGTGTTTAAAAATATTCTAATCTAAATCCCTCTTGTATATACTCATCCTTACATTTTCTTGTTTATTTAAACCCTCTAGTGTCGTAAAAATCCTTCACTGTCATGATCAATGGCAAGATGACTACTCCGCTTTCCAAATCCTTAAAACAAAAGTACTAAAAGTGGGAAATGGGAGTAGACTGATTTGTTTTAATTTAGGGTACCGCTAATGTTATAGCCCTCTGCTTTCAAATGAATATCTCCATTAGTCTTCAGACCGAAGCCTTAGATTACATTCATCTTTAAATTTTAGATAAATATGTTATAATATCACATAAAGCGGTGAAGCAGCTCTGGCTAGGGAGGTCTCCAGTGCTGTTGATAGCTCGAATAGGGGACTCAGATTACTGGTAATGATAAGATAGTATCCTCCTTCTCAATAGCATTCGTTTCTTTAGCTAAAAGCGTTACAGGAAATGCTGGCTTAGCTAATGTCTATTGAAAAAGGGCTTATTTATATACCAAATTTAGCTGGGCGAACAGGGAAATTTATGAAAAAATTAGAGATACAGGTATTGAACCACCAGACCTCTCTCCTTAAATTTCCTGGGTTTTCACTCATTTTTGAGGATGAAATGCATCGTTAAAAAACATTTTTTAAAGTTTGAAACATTATGGTGAACCCAATTATAATCCAGGTAAAGGGGTTTTGGGGTTTTGGGGTTTTGGGGTTTTGGGG